AAGCAGAGGTGAGGCGCCACAGCATTCTAGGCATGTCAACCAATGTGAAGATGTGATAGGAAATGGAGGCCAGAGATGGAAGGTTTTGTTTGAAGCTGCAAATAGACCCTTGATTTTGAAGCTTTGGAACCCTTGTTTCCCTCTCCTCTCAAAACTCCCAATTATTACTTGTTCATGGCCTGCTTTTCACTTTGCCACAGTCAGATCTTTTCCCCTTCCACACTGGGGAATGTCCTATAACTTGAGCTGACTAGCCACTGTCCAGAGTCCCTGCTTCCCAGAAGCTGGATTTTGCTGCCCTCTGCTGACTAATTAAAAAAAAAACCCAACAACCACCAACTACTGGCACTTTAACTACCTTCAAATGAATTCAGAATTTATTCAGTGCCTATTATGTACAGGTTCCTTTGTTGGGCATTGGGAGAGGTAGAGATCAAGGAAATCACAGTTTCTTCCCTCAGAGAGCTTACAGTGTAAAAGATGATGAAAGATACATAATACATAAATAATTAGTCATTCAACATACATTTAAGACTTCAATGAATATAAAAATAATAATAGTAATAGCTAGCAATTATATGGCACTTTAAGGTTTGCGAAGCACTTTATGAATATTATCTCATTTGATCCTCACAGCAACCGTGCAAGGTAGGTGCTATTATCATCCCAATTTTATAGGTGAGGAAACGAGCAGACAGAGATTAATTGACTTGCCCAGGATCACACAGATAGTAAGTGTCTGAGGCCTGTATTTGAACTCTGGTCTTCCTGACTCCAGTGTTTTATCTACTTCATCACTGAATTTTCCTATTTTTATGTCATGTAAGAGAGAGTTGAAAACTGTGCTAAAACTGGGAGTACATTCATTCATTACTTCTTCCTTACACATATGACCCGTCATTTTGTCAGAGAAGAAAATTAAATTTGCTTTTCCCCAAATCCTGCCTATGTTCTTTTCAGAGATGGGCCAATTGATGGTTTGACTTTTTGACTTCCCAGATTTCCATGTTAAGATGACTTGTCTATAAATACTAAGGTCAGTTCTCAACCACCTTTGTATTCCCACTTAACTCAGGCCCTCTTGTCTGGGTTGTGATGACAGCTTCCTAATTCTCATATTTGCCTGCTTCTTGTTTATCCTTCATACCACTGCCCACTTAATCTTACTGATGCCCAGGCGTATCCCTAGCTGAAAAATCTACAGGGCCTTTCCACTGACCAAAGGATAGACTATAAATTCCTGAGTGCTGCTTTCAAAGCCCTCCCTAGTCTGGACCCACCCTGCCTTTCTAGCTGCATCTCACCCTGCTTCACTTAATGCATTCTTTGTTACTCAGTTTGCTACACTGACTGTCCCCTGCCCATTTCAGACCCTGCACCTCTGCCTGCAATGAATTTGTCTTTTAACTTCTCAACTCCCTGACTTCTCCTTTTGCAATATTTTCCTTCCATGAAGATCCAAGTCAGGTACAACCTCCTCTAGGAAATTTTCCCTGACTTTCCTTTTCAGTTGGGAGTAATATCTCTTTCCTTCAATCTCTCATCATATTTTTGGCTACTTTGCAGTTACCACATTCTAATTTATTTTGTAGTTAATTATCCCTCCTAAATTGTAAGCTCTTGAAGTATGCCATTTTTCATCTTTATATATCCAACTCAAGCTAAGCACATGGTAGACACACAGTAAATGCTTGTCTCCTGTAGTGAAAGAGACCTATATGTGGAGTCCCAAAGTACAGCTTTCCATTTTAGCTCTTACTAGCTTTGTGAGTGACACAATTTTAATTGACAACATGTCTTTTTTATTTGTTAAATTTTTTAAAGGGGTATAACATCTGTCTTTTCTCCAGAGCTCGAGGCTCTTGTCCTTGATGCTTCCTCAGAAAAGTGATTGTAAAGTTTCTCTCCTTCATTGCAGGTCACTGAGTAGACTCTGTTCTGTTGTTCTTTTGTGCTTCCTTTTCCTGTTATTTTAGGCCACCCCACTCATCTCATTCTCTTTCCCCCTTGAGTTTTCATTCTTTCCTTATGAGCAAGGTTTATTCTCATAAGCTATTCACATTTTATCCTTTCTGCAGAGACAGAAGTGAACAAGAGACTAAATGCTTTTGCCTTTTCAGGGACTTCTCTTTTGTTAGCTTTTCCTTCTTGTCCATGAGGGGTGGGACCACATGTTCTCTTTATCTTTTTCTATAGTACTACATATATGGAAAACTCCCCTAGATTCTGGAGAGTTGCTTCTCTGTACCAGTGTCAGCTTTCCTAATTTTTATAGGATCACAGGATTTAGAGCTAAAAGGGACCTTAGAGGTTGTCTAGTATAATACCTTCATTTTACAGATGAAGAAACTGAGGCCCAGGAAGGGAAGTGATTTGCTCTAAGCTTCTCTTGGGATGCCTCTTCATTAACATGTCTACCTATAGGAATCCTAGATTTGGATTGTTAGAGATAGAAGGCAGTCATAAAAATAATGATCTAACCCTGTCATTTTGTAGAAAAAGAAACTGAGGCCAAGAAATGGGGAAATATTTACCAGAGGTCACACAGTAAAACATAATTCTTCTCTAACCAAATCCAAGACTCTTCGCACTATGCCACACCATCTTGCAAATCTCAGACTTGTAAGGAAAGTCAAAAATCACCCAAGCCAGGATCACCCACATCCTACTGCTATACTGCTTCCCTGAGAAAAGGTCGTCCAGCCTCCTCTTAAACACTTCCAGTAACTAGAGGTTAACTATCTTCTCCAAATCATATCACTTCCCAATCCTTCCTTTCCAATCAGAAATAATCTTTCCTTCCTTGGAACTTTCATAATATTCTGTACTTCTTTTGTGTACTTTAACAGGCTACTTTCAATACAGTTATTTGTGTTCTTTTCTCCTGTCTCCCACCAAATTTTTTAAATTAAATTAAATTTATTTTTTGTTATACTTTTAAGTTCCAAATTGTTGCCTTCCCTCCTTCCCTACTCAGCGTTAGAAAAGGCCACCATTACTTTCTTCCTCTCTCTCTGTCTCTCTCATGCACACACACATGCGCATGCATGCACATTTGTGTATATATGTATATATGTGTATATATGTACATATATATGTATATGTATGTACATATGTATATATGTATGTATGTATATATCTATATCTATATCTATATATGAAACCATACAATGCATACTTCTGTTTATCAGTTCTTTCACCGGAGGTGTGTAACATCTTCCTTCATAGGTCCTTTGTCATTGTTTTGAATATTTATAATATTTAGAATAGCTTGGTTATTCAGTTTTTCTCTGAACAATATTGCTATTACTCTATACAACATTCTCTTGGTTCTGCTCACTATGTCATGCAAGTCTTTCCATCTTTTTCTAAAATCAATCTCCTCTCCTTTTCTTACAGTATATCTCCCACCAAATTTTAAGCTCACTAAGGTCAAGGAGTGAATCTTGGCATCTTATGTAGCTTTGCATGTCCTTCATTCTGTGGTATAGTAAGTGTTTGTGGTATAGTAAGTGTTTTGTAAATAAATAGCAGGTGCTTAATAAATGTCAAATTTATACCTGAAGCAAATTTTAAAAGATCAAATCAGTAATGAATAAAATGGTTCAAAAATATACAGTCCAAGTTATAATGGGCTTTTCCTCCTTATTAAAACATTCATAAGATGGCATTTGGATCTAGATCTTTAATTCCAAATCTCTTGCTCTTTCCATTATACTACACTGCCTTTAGGTATTTTATAATCATTTAGTCAGGCAACACGAGTGGAATCCTTTATTTCAATTAGGAGTTCTTTAAATTGTTGGAAATCAGAGAACCTTACATTATACTTAGTTTATTTGAATAACAATAAAAAAGAAAAGCATAATCCTGATAGTTATATTATTGAGTTTTTCTATTTAAGAAATTCCTGGCAAAATTTTTTTTATAAATTATGGTTTGTCATATGATAAGTGGATTCTATTTAGAAATATCTGTATAAAGTAAATTTCAGCTTGGAAAAAGATGATAGTGTCCAACTCCATGGAATGGGCTATCTTGTGAAGCAGCTGATGGAGCAGTAGATAAAGTGCTGGGTCTAGAATTAAAAAGACTTGAGTTCAGATGAGGTCCACATTAACTGTATGACCCTGAACAAGTCATTAACCTTTATTCCTTCAGCTTTCTCAACTGTAAAATAGGGATAATAACAGCACTTATATTGCAGTGTTGTTGAGAAAATGGAAAGACATTTGTACAAGTGCTTAGCACAGTGGCCAGCACATATTAAATGCTATATAAATGCTTGTTCTTCTCCCCTTCCCTTCTTTTATGAGATATTTAGGTCCCAGGCCCTGGAAATATTCAAGCTAAAGCTGTGTGGCCATTTGTCAGGGATATTGTAAAGAGGAGTCATGCTTTAGGTGTGGGTTTCACTGGTTCACCTGTGCCATTGCTGTGATTAGGAAGAGCTGTAAAATGACTGAGAGTCAGCTTGGTAGATAAGAGGAATGGAGAAGAAAAGAGTAGATAAAGGGATGGCCTTGGGGTCAGGGAAACCTGAGTTCAAGTTCTGTGTCTGTCTTCTACTGACTGAGTGACCATGGATGAGTCACTTCTCCTCGTAATGCCCCACTTAACTCTCTAAGATAAAAATTACAGATGAATTGTTGATCTGCATTGGTACAGAGAAATTCTATACCAGCAGTTCCCAAATTTATGAAGTTACATGACCAAACCAAAACTATGTAGTAGAGAGTTCTCTTATTGGATGTTGTCAGGCAGAGAACAAATAGGTTAACGATCATTTATCAAAGATTTTGAAGAAAGGATTCATGCTTCAGGTAAGGATTGAGCTATCTGACCTCTGAGAGGTCCCTTTTATTTCTAAGATGACTACTGGAATGACCATAAGATCCCTTTCCTTCGAGAACTATAGAAGACATTTGGTGAGGGAATCAATAACTGGCTAATGTTTTGTTGACTCATTCTAAATCTCTTCTTTCGTCTTTCTGCCACAGGGAACACACTGAGTAACCTGATTATGATTCTACCTCCAATCTGTGGTGCCATTCAGACAGTCAGAGATGGACTGGAAAAGCGGTACACAGCTTCCTATTTGGCTATTACAGGTATATTTGGGTATTACAGGTATGGGTAGAGCTTCCTATGAAATGATCATCCGCAGCGTTGGCACGTTCTTTTTGTTTTTCCGTCTATAAAAGTAAATGGTCACACTTTGGCATTGGGAGCCTGTTAAGAAAAACTAAGGCTCATGTTTTTGTGTGCCTAAGTATAAACCTTGATATGGATTTCCAGGTGGGGTTGGTCTGGTTTTTTGAGTTTGGGGGTTTGTTTGTTGTTTTCGTTAAAGTAGATGGATACCTGTATTCTGAGGCACTTTCTAAAGTAGTAAAATGAAAATTTTCCCGCCTTCAGTCACTGATCTAGCACAACATGAGTTTAGAAGACTGTAAATAAAAAAAAAAGACTATAAATAAGGTTCTTTATGCAGATTTACAGAAGCCTTCTTGAGAAGTCCTCAGTCACTACCAAATAGCTCAATACCATTGCAGTTTTGAAACTGTGGCATGTACTGAAACAAACAAGGAAATGAAAATCTCAGAGGAGTTAGGTCAACAGGACATTTTTTCTTAGCTACTATCTCTTTCTCCTTTTGGGGTCAGGCACATAATCATATACTCTGATCTGGAAGAGTCTCAAGGACATCAGTCAACAAGCATATACCTGCCATGTACCAGGCACTGATCTGCCTGCTGGGAGGTATGGTAACAAAAATCAAACAACTCCCTGCTCTCAAAGCGTTTACATTCTTATCTGGCAAAACAACATTTGCACATGTAAGTAAATACAAGTACGTACATAAATACAGAGGGGGAGGGCATGAGAGCAGGGAGACTAAAGAAAGATCTTATGTGGGAGATAGCGCTTGAACTGACCTTTCAAGGGAGCTTTGGTGATGAGAGAATGCACTGCAGGCATGTAAGGACATGAAGATGTGTGTAAGGAAAACAGCAAGGAGACCAATTTGGCTAGAGTGTAGGAAGGAGAGTAGTGTGTGATCAGCCTGGAAAGGTAGACTAAAGCCAGATTGGTAAATTACATCCTAGATGTATTAGGAGTCACTGGAGCTTTTTTGAGAAGGAAAGAGACATGGTCAAACCTGTGCTTAAGGAATATCACGTCAATGATATTCTCTGTGCAGAATGTTTGGAGAGGAAGCGGAGAGACTTCAGGCAGAGAAAGCAATTAGCAGGCTATTGAAATAATCCAATCTGTTTCAAAAAAGGAGCCCCCAACACACATATGCCATCCTTGAAAAGTGGTCATCTAGACTAGAAACATTTATTGACTAGGTTTGGTGGCCAGTCTTCTGGTTATGAGCCTTTTTGAACTGAGCCAGGCTATTCATCAGATAGTAGACTCACAGTCCATCATGGGACATCTCTTTCAAACCTTTTCTTCCCTCCTCAAACTACAGATGCTTCTCTCTCTACCATCTCAGCTAAGAACCTTCATTCATGTTTCACTGAAAAAAAAAACAACTGAGGCCATTCGCTGAGATCTCTCCTCCCCCATCTCACAACACTCAGGTTCTTTCTGCCACTATGTCACCCTTCACTGCTGTTTCATGTGAAGACATAAGAAGGTCAACAGCAACATTCACTAGCATTTGTTAAGTATAGTTTCAGTGAACAGCCGCAAAGTCATATAAGTGGTTCTTTGTAGGCATGGTCTTAATGTGGGGATAAACTAGAAAAGATATTCTGGGCCTTCTTTTGAAGGCTTCAAAGCCTTTTTTTGGATAAGGAGCCCCATATTTTCCCCAAGGGGCTTGAAAGTCAAGTGATTCAGGCTCTTGTCTCTGCTGTGCTACCACATAGATGTGTGTGACTTCCTCTCTCTGGACCAGTCCTCTGTAAATATCGGGAATTGTGTGAAGTCATCTCTAATGCCCCTTCCTCTTCTAGCATTCTTTTTTCTTTCTGTATTCTAATTTTCTTTGATCTAGGGTCCCTTCCAACTTCAAAATTCTACAATCAGTAGTCATTTCTAACTCCAGTTCCAACATCCCTTCAGTGAAAAAAATGAAATTGACAACCAGGAAAATAAACTAAACTATAAAATAGATGAAACAAATTAAAAAGTAAAAAGAAACATAGCAAAAAATTTGATGCCTTCTCACAATTCAAAACCAAAGCAAGAAGGTACTGAAGGGGTAAAAGCACAAAGACACAGTAATTTCCTGAACAAAAGGAGCATTGGAAATTCTTTAAATGGAGGAACTTTAATTGATTAATTTCAGTGTTACAGTATCTATAATCAACCACTGTCTTGACTGAATCAGACTGATATGAGACTAATCAGAAATGATCTGAGTGTGCTGTGCCCTTCTGTCCAGAGAACATGTAGAAGAATCTTTAGTACAGAATATAAAAGACTAATAACCTTTTAAATTACAGCAATTACTGTTAGTAATGAAAGAAAAATAAAATCAATGTGCCGTGGTGGCAAGGGCCTTCTGAAATAGTTTGTGAAGCTTTCTAACCTATTTATTTCCTTTTTTATCTGATTCTGACCACTGGACACTGAATCAGTAAACAACAGTTCACTCATTCAGCCCCTGAGGAAAATACAAGGAGAAATAATCAAAAAACCATAGAGCTGCCAAGGATCTCAGGGATAGATCACCTGATCACAGAATCTCTCAGTAGTGAAAGGAACTTCCAAGACTCTCTGTCCTGACTCATACTTGAACAAGAATCTCCCTCTATAACATATCTTATAGGTAGTCATGTAGCTTGTACATGTCCAATGGCCTCCCATTCCACTTTTGTAGAGCTTTAGTTATTAGGAAATATTTTCTCATATCAAGCCAAAATTTACCTCTTTGTAGATTCCACCCATTTTTTCCACATCTACTATCTAGAGCTAAACAGAACAGATCTAATTCCTATCGCATATGATAACCCTTCAGATACATAAATACAGTCCTCTTGTTGTCCCCCCACATCCTGACTCTTCTCTTCTCCAGGCTAAGCATTCCTAGTTCCTTCCACTGTTAGCATGATCTTGAGTCCTGATTCAGAGAAAGGATAGGTAGTCTCACCGACTAAATTCTCCAGAGAAAGTCAGTCCCAAAGTGGTCAAAAGCTCTTAAGAATCCTAGAGAGGGGTAGCTAGGTGGCGCAGTGGATAGAGCACCAGCCCTGGAGTCAAGAGGACCTGAGATCAAATCCGGCCTCAGACACATAATACTTCCTAGCTGTGTGACTCTGGGCAAATCACTTAACCCCAATTGCCTCACTAAAAATAAATAAATAAATAAATAAATAAGGATATTAATGCACTGTTGGTGGAACTGTGAACTAGTGCAATCATTCTGGAGAACAAGTTGGAACTATGCCCAAAGAACTATAAAACTGTGTGTACTCTTTGACCTAGCAATGCCATGGCTAGGTCTATGTCCCAAAGAGATCAAATAAAATGGAAAAGGAACCATTTGTACAAAAATATTTATATCAACTCTTGTTGTGATGGCAAAGAATTGGAAATCAAGGGAATGCCCATCAGTTGGGGAATGGCTGAATAGGTTCTAGTATATGATTGTGATAGGATACTATTGTGCTATAACAAATGACAGAGAGCGGGGGTGATTTCAGAAAAACATAGCAAGATTTGTATGAACTCATGCAAAACAAAGTGAATAAAACCAGGCAGACACTGTGCATAGCAACAGGAATATTTTTTTTAATTTTAATGTTCTATTTTTTCCAATTACTTGTAAGACAATTTTTAACCTTTTTTTTTATAATTTTGACTCCCATATTCTCTCCCACCCTCTCTCCTCTCTCCCCTCCTTGAGAAGGCAAGTGATTTGATACAGATTATATATATGCAGTCATGCAAAACATATTTCTATATTAGTCTTGTTGTGAAAGAAAACATAGACCAAAAAAACCAAAAGAAATAAAGAAAATTAAAAAGCAGTACCCTTTGGTCTGCATTCAGATTCCATCAGGTCTTCCTCTAGAGGTGGATAGCATTTTTCATTTTAAGTCCTTTAGAGTTGTCTTGAATCTTTGTGTTGCTGAGAATACCTAAGTTATTCCCAGTTGATCATTGTACAATATTGCTATTACTGTGAACAATGTTCTCCTGGACAGTAATAGCAGTATTGTAAGGATGATGAACTGTGAAAGACTTAGCTACTCTGATCAAGACAGTGACCCAAGGCAATTCCAAAGAACCCATGATGAAAATTGCTATCTACTTTCAGAGAGAAAGCTGATGAAGCATAAATACAGATTGAAACATACTTTTTTATTCTATTTTTATTTTATTTTGTTTTTGTTTTCTTTTGCAGCATGGCTAATATGGAAATATATTTTGTATGACTTCTCATGTGTAATCAGTATCAAAATATTTACCTTCTCAAGGGGGGAAGAGGGGTAGGAAGGATGGAAAGAATTCGGAACCCAAAATTTAAAAAAATGATTGTTAAACTTTTTCACATGTAATTGGGAAATATTTAACAAAATAAATAAAAATAAATTTTTTTTGAAAAGAAAAAAAAAGCCACTACTAGGTCTGTATCCCAAAGAGATCAAAGGAAAAAGACCTATATGTACAAAAATATCTGCATCAACTCTTTTTGTGATGGCAAAGAACTGGAAGTAGAGGGGATGCTCATTAATTGGGGAATGACTGAACAAGTTGTGGTATATGGTATATGCTGTGGTATATGGAATAGTATGGTGTGGTATATGGAGTACTATTGTGCTATAAGAAGTGATAAGGGGCGTGGTTTCAGAAAAACATAACAAGACCTATATTAATTGATACAAAGTGAAGTGAGAAGAACTGGAAAATCGTTGTGCACAATACAAACAATGTTGTAATGAAGATTAACCATGAAAGACTGGCTACTCAGATCAAGACCGTGATCCAAGACAATTCCAAAGGACTTATGATGAAAATTGCTATTCACCACCAGAGAACTGATAAACTCTTCAGTACAAATTGAAGTATAATGTTATCACTTTATATTTTTTTTGCAATATGGCTAATATGGAAATGTGTTTTCATGATTTCACATGCATAATTGATA